CTATCTATCTATCTATCTATCTATCTATCTATCTATCTATCTATCTACTATTTGTATCTATATCTTCTATTCTACTTTGTCTCTGTCTATCTTCTGTTTGTATCTATCTATCTATCTATCTATCTATATCTATCTATCTATCTATCTATCTATAGTATCTATCTATAGTATCTATCTATAGTATCTATCTATCTACTATTTGTATCTATATCTTCTATTCTACTTTGTCTCTGTCTATCTTCTATTTGTATCTATCTATCTATCTATCTATCTATCTATCTATCTACTATTTGTATCTATATCTTCTATTCTACTTTGTCTCTGTCTATCTTCTATTTGTATCAATCTATCTATCTATCTATCTATCTATCTATCTATCTATCTATCTATCTATGGTATCTATGGTATCTATATATCATCTCTATCATCTATCATATCTATCATCTGTCTACATCTCTATCATCTATCATATCATCTATCTGTTATCTATTATCTATATTGTCTATCATATCATCTATCATCTGTCTGTCTGTCTGTCTGTCTGATTTCTGTGCTTCCCATCCACACTAGTACAGGAACTCTGAGGGACATAGAGTCTTTCTAAGAACATTTCCATCCCTCATGGGCTCCCAAGGGTATTTTTGCCTGGCAGGAATTAATTGCGTGACTTCTGAAATTCTTACCTTGAAGGAAATGGAACGAAAGACGGGTGGTCTTTTAATTCCCTGTTTCCTGTCTCTCAGCTCTCGGTGGTTGAGTACGATCCTGGCACCCACGATCTGAAAACGCTTTCCCTTCATTACTTTGAAGAGCCGGAACTGAAGGTAGGAGTCCGAAGGTTTGTAATCTGATATCAGATGAAAAGGCTGCATGGCGTAGAATGGTTAGGCCCCCCCCGGGGACTTTGGGGGGGGGGGGAAGCTGAACCTCTCTACAAGACAGTTGAGAGGAAAAGTTTTCCCAAGACTTTAAAAAAAGTCCTTCTTTCCTCAAGACTAGTCAGGGGTGACATGATAGCAGTCTTTCAATATCGGAGGGGCTTCCCCAAAGAAGAAGAGGGGGTCAAGCTATTCTCCAAGGCACCTGAAGAGGCAGGAGAAGGAGCAACAGATGGAAACTCATCAAGGAGAGAAGCAACCTGGAACTAAGGAGGAATTTCCTGAGAGTTAGAATAATCAATCAGTCGAACTCTAGAAGTTGTGAATGCTCCAACTCTGGAAGTTTTCAAGAAGAGACTGGACAACCATCTGTCTGAAACTGTATAGGATTTCCTGCCAGAGTAGGGGGCTGGACTAGAAGACCTCCCAGGTCCCTTCCAGCTCTATTCCGATTGATTGAACGACTCTCTGAAGTGGTATCTCTTGCCTGAGCAGGCGGTTGGACTGGAAGACAGATTGACGCATGCCATATAGGGTCGCCATCATGGCCATAGTCTAAATGAAAAATAAATCCGTTGGTGCTTGCTTGTGTCTTTCCTCAGGACGGCTTCGTGCAGAACGTCCACATCCCCAAAGTGCGGGTGGATCCCGACGGGCGCTGCGCCGTCATGCTCATCTACGGCACGCGGCTGGTGGTCCTGCCCTTCCGCAGAGACACCCTGACAGATGAGCACGAAGGAGTGGTGGGCGAAGGGTAAGGGGAGCATTTTGGATGTCTGGAAAACAGCAGCCGGTTATGGCTGTCTGCAGTGTCCCATTGTCATGGGACCGTGACTTAGTGTGTTTTTTGCTTGGAACCGGCTTTTTCTTACGGTTTCTGGGGGGAAAATGCTCATTGCAGAAAAGATTCGCTTAACAACGGACTCAAACAATATCGTAAAATCGGGAGCATCCCTGTGACGAACCACTTAATAACTGGCACAATTTATGACAGTAATTCCCGGCTCAATTATTTTATTTATTTTATTTTATTTTATTATTATTTTACTTTATTAAATTTATTTTATTAAATTTATTTTAATCTTATTCCATTATTTTGTTGTTTTATTTTATTTTTCATTTTGTTGTTTTATTTTATTTTGTTATTTTTTATTTTGTTTTGTTTTGTTTTATTATTTTATTATTTTATTTCTGTCACGCTGCTTAACTATCAATCACCCTCAGAAAGGAGCTCTGGGTGGTGTACAATTTAATCAATCTGGTCATAAGTCAACATGGCTGTTAGTCATACAAAATTACCTATGGTAACATCAAGAAAGTAGGAAAGAAAAAGGAAAGAAAATTAAGCTAGAATTAGTTTGCATGAGACTCCAACTGGCTGGGCAAAGTTTAGAGCCATTTAGTCATTTACTAACAACTGTAGAGTATTCCTTTATTTCAGAGTGCGTTTAATAAACAAACCCAATAAACAAACAAACTGTTAAGACTGGCCCATCAACCAGTTTGCTTCCTTCTTTAAATCTGCTTTTTAAGTTGGTTTTGGGAGATGGAATCCAGTGCCTCCTGAGGCTGGAGAGAGGCTGTTTGGGGGCCCTTAAGGCTCTGAGTCTGGGTGGCTGTCTATGGTCTGCCTGGGAGGGGCCACCTTGTGTCCTCCCCCAGGGTGTCTCTGGCACCCTGTTCATGGCTGTGCTCCCTCTTCTTCCCTCTCTGCAGCCAGAAGTCCAGCTTCCTGCCCAGCTACATTATCGATGTGAGGGAGCTGGACGAGAAGCTGTTGAACATCATCGACATGCAGTTCCTGTATGGCTACTATGAGCCCACCCTGCTCATCCTCTATGAGCCCAACCAGACTTGGCCGGGGTACGTTCTGTCCACCTCCTCCCTCTCTGCCTTTCGTGCTGCCACGGCCTGGCCCTCCAGGGGACAGTTGCCGAAGTTTCTGTTCCTGCCTTTGGCACAAACAGCCCACGCTTTCCTCCTTTTGTGCGTTGCACATTTCGTGAGTGTCCATCACTCACAGTTGTACAGGCAGCCCTCCACTTACAAGCATTCTGTCCTGACCCAGCTCCCCAAACACGATAAACCCTCCGTAGTTGAAGCAATTGTTCTCTTATCAGGAGCGTCAACAGTGGCAGCCCCAGCAAAGAGTTTCTCTCTCACTGCAGGGTAACAAGTCCATCCGTGCAGGAGAGGAGTAGTTGCCTGCCACACCTATTCGTCTCCGTCCCCCTGCCTTTGATCCCCAGAGCTAGGGTGGGGCTTCGCTAGCAGTGGTGGCTCTTCCGTCCCGAGGACCGGCCCCTAGATTTCCACTGCTCTCCTCTCCTTGGCAAAAAGTTTCTCTCTCACTGCTAAGGCTAAGAGGTCTATCTGGCGGGGGACATGAAGAGTTGTCTGCTATACCTATTGGTCTGCGCCCCCTGCCTTGCATCCCCAGAGCTAGGGTGGGGCTTCGCTAGCAGCGGTGGCTCTTCCGTCCCGAGGACCGGCCCCTAGATTTCCACTGCTCTCCTCTCCTTGGCAAAAAGTTTCTCTCTCACCGCTAAGGCTAAGAGGTCTATCTGGCAGGGGACATGAAGAGTTGTCTGCTATACCTATTTGTCTGCGCCCCCTGCCTTGCATCCCCAGAGCTAGGGTGGGGCTTCGCTAGCAGCAGTGGCTCTTCCGTCCCGAGGACCGGCCCATAGATTTCCACTGCTCTCCTCTCCCTTCTGTGCATCTGCGCATCAGGCACTGGGCCCACTGTTCCTCCTCTTCCTCATCAGCCACCTCCAGACCTGGGGGCTGTTGACTCTCCATCTGAGGGCTGTCTCCACCTCTCTCTCTCTCTGCCAGCTCCATTCCCTCTTCCCCCTCAGAGGTCCCAGGTTGCCCTGATGCTGACCATGACTCCCACGCCTCCTCCTCCTCCTCCTCCTCCTCCTCCGATTTGGCTACTGGATAGGCCACAGCACATTCCTTTAGTGACCTTCCAAAGCTACAACAAGCACTGAAAAAAAAGTGACTTAGGACTATTTTTCACATTTATGACTGTTGCAGCATCCCTGCTGGTCACATGACCAAAATGCACAAGCTTGGCAACTGGCACGTACTCAGGACGGTTGCACTGTCCCAGGGTCATGTAATTCCCCTTTTGTGACCTTCCCTGCTGGCATCTGACAAGCAAAGTCAATTGGAAAGCCAGGTTCACTAAACGACCGCATGATTCGCTTAACAGCTTCAGTGATTCACTTAGTAACAGGCTAACAAGTTGTAAAATGAGGCAGAACTCAACAGCTGCCTTGCTTAACAATGGAAATGTTGGGCTCAAGCGGGGTCGTAAGTCGAGAACTACCTATAGATGGTTTTCCTGACAACATGCCAACTTTTGCCCAAATTAATTAGAGAAAGGGCTCCGTTCTGGAACCTGATTTGTTATTTATTTATTAAATTTGTATGCCACCCATTTCACTACCAAGCGACTCTGGGTGGCTTCCAATACCATAGATAACAAAATTAAAAATGACAGATTTAAAATATCAAAACATAGGGAATTAAAAAGTTAAAACCTTGACATGAACATTCCAATGGATAAAAAGAACCAGTGCCTGGTGGATCTGGGATCTTCTATTAGGTCCGCTAACCGCTTCAGTATGACCTGCCCCCATTGGGCTCCCAAGCCAATCAGCAGAGCCAGGTCTTCAGGCCCTTCCAGCAGGGAAGGGGGTGGGTGCGGATCTTCCCAAGGGTGGGAGCCACTGCAGAGAAGGCCCTTCTGGACCCCATCAGTTGCAATTCCTCGACCGAAGGGATCTGCTGATACCCCTTCTGCCAGTGTGGGTGAGGTGAGACCCTTCCTCAGATCACCTGGACCACATGCCACAAAGGGCCTTAAAGGTAATGAGCACAAATAGGAATCACAAATAGAATAACAGAGTTGGAAGGGACCTTGGAGGTCTTCAATCCAACCCCTTGTTCAAGCAGGAGACCCTATATTATTTCATACAAGTGGTTGTCCAATCTCTTCTTAAAAACTTCCAATGTTGGAGCATTCACAACTTCATGAGGCCAGCAGTTCCGCTGGTTGATTGTCCTCCCTGTCAGGAAGTTTCTCCTCAATTCCAAGTTGCATCTCTCCTTGATGAGTTTCCATCTGTTGCTTCTGCCTTGAGGTGCTTTGGAGAATAGCTTGACTCCCTCTTCTTTGGGGCAGCCCCTTAGATACTGAAAGACTGCCATTATGTCACCCCATGTCCTTCTTTTCATTAAATCTTTACTCCATCTGAATCTTTATTTCAAACCCAGGCTTGACAGCATGAAAGAGAGAAGGCCAACTTTTGAGCATCGTGTTCATCTGTACTGTTTTATCTGTAAAATAAGCACAGGATGCACCACTTCTTTCTTTTTTGTCCTTTGATCTGAGACCACCCACAGCCCTTCCTCATTCTCTCCCCTCACCTGTCCATTCTGGCTTCTAACGATCTTCCTCCTTTAGGTGGGAAGTGCTTCATTGTCTCTCCTTCTCCGCAGGCGAGTGGCTGTGCGCCAGGACACCTGCAGCATCGTGGCCATCTCCCTCAACATCATGCAGAAGGTCCATCCGGTCATCTGGTCCCTCAGCAACCTGCCCTTTGACTGCACGCAGGCCCTGGCAGTGCCCAAGCCCATTGGTGAGCGGAGTAGCCCTTCCTGGCTTTGTGGGGTGGGGGAGGGGAAGGCTGGTGTGGAGGTTGGCATCTGGATGTATCTCAAACAGACTTCCTCCAGATGTTCTGGCACCACAGAGCTTCCTGCTTGGAATCTCCAGATGTGGAGCGCTGAACAGTGGTTGGAAATTGCAAACAGAAGTATCTTTTTGGTGCAGAATTTGGAAGGGGGATCACGCATGTTGTAACTGTGGGATGTGTAAGAAGGGAGTTGTCTCCTCCCTCTCTCCTCTGCCTCTCTTCTCCTTCCCCACTCCAGGAGGTGTTGTGATCTTTGCGGTGAACTCTTTGCTCTACCTGAACCAGAGTGTGCCTCCGTACGGCGTGTCACTCAACAGCCTCACCAATGGCACCACCGTCTTCCCGCTAAGTATGTGTCTGTCTGTCTCTCCCTGCCCCGCTCTCTTTCTGCTGTCCCTCCCGTAACGACCATGGGTAGATGCTACTGGGTAGCTCTGGAGGTGGAATCGTTTTTGAAAAGCATCTCAAAAGGTTAAATCATGGCAACTGAACCAAGCCTCGATGGAGATTCTCAGTCATCCAGATCAGAGTTGTCCCAAAGGTGCTTTTTCAAGAGGCCACTGCAGTTTTCTTGTTTTTTTTCTTTTGAAGACGTTTCGCTTCTCATCCAAGAAGCTTCTTCAGCTTTGACTGGATGGTGGGGAAATGGAAGGATTTATACTCCTTGCAGGCAGCTGATCATTTGCATCCTTTTAGAGGGTTGTTGAGGCCACTTGGAGGTTTATCTTTGTCCTCAGGGTCACCGGAGTGGTGCCTCCAAGTGGCCTCAATGGCCCTCTCAAAGGATGCAAATGACCAGCTGTGTCTGCCAGGAGTATAAATCCTTCCCTTCCCCACCATCCAGCTAGAGCTGAAGAAGCTTCTTGAATGAGAAGAGAAGCATCTTCAAAAAAAAAAAAAATCCCAGAAAGTCCAGTTGCCTCTTGAAAAAGTACCTTTAGAAAATCTGGACCAAATTTTATTAAATTTGAGCCATTTCGTTACTTATCCAAATAATTTCCTTCACTCAAAATGAAAATTTGGGTAGGCAGAGAGTCAGAATCGTTGGAATGAACCCCAATTCTTGCCATACAGGCTCTAGTCTGTGGAGATTCTCAATCATCTAGGCTGTGGTTATCCCAAAAGTGTTTTTCCAGGAAGCAAGTGGACTTTCTCGTTGTTCTCTCTGAAATAGTACAGGGCCGTGATGGTGAACCTACGGCACGGGTGCCACAGGTGGCACGCAGAGCCCTCTCTGTGGGCACGCCAGCCGTCGCCCAGCTCGGCTCCGCCACAGATGCGCACACGCCTCCTGCCGGCCAGCTGATCTTCGGGTCTCTGCCTCCCATGTGCAGGGAGTGGGGCACGTGTGGGGGCGGGGCGCATGCACGGGGGACGCACATGCATTGCATTTCCGGGATGCGCGTACACGCATGCTTTTGAGCATTCGGTGCCGAAAAGGTTAGCCATCACTGGTATAGGGCTGTGATGGTGAACCTATGGCACGCGTGCCGCAAGTGGCACGTAGAGCCATTTGTGCAGGCATGCGAGTCCCAGCCAAACTTACCTGCACTGCACATGCATGTGCCTCCCAGCTGATTTTTGGCCTCCCGGGGGCTCGAAGGAAGCCTCTGCAGCCTCGGGAGGCCGAAAAAACGGGACTTCCAGAAATCCCGGAAGTGCTGAAACGGGCCCGTTTTTCGGCCTCCTGAAGGCTGCAGAGGCTCAAGCCCCGGAAGGCCAAAAACAGCCTCAAAAGGGTTCAAAATCAGCTGGGAGGCACATGCATGTGCGATGCAGGTAAGGGTGGGGCGGGAGGGAATGGCGCACGCATGCACAGGCCCCCCCCCCCACGCTCATTGCCTTCTGGGTGCTGGCATGCGAGCGAGTGCTCACGAGCGAACACAATTTTGGGCACAGAAGCCCCCCAAATTTAGCCACCGCTGGTATAGGGTCTCCTGCCTCACCAGGGAGTTGGACTAGAAGGCTTCCAACTCTCTTATTCTGAAAACGTTTCGCTTTCTGAAGGAGCTTCCAGCAGTGAGAAGCAAAACATTTTCAAGAAAAAAACAAAAACCCAAGTAAGTCCAGTCGCTTTTTAAAAAGCCGCTTTGGGACATGGGAAGCTGATGATTTTAGCTTCTTCGCTTCTGCTTCTGCCAGAGCCAGGAAACTAAACGTTTTTTTGCAAACTTTGGTACAGAGTCTGACTGGTTGTGTTTACTTATTTATAAGCCGTATTTCTTAATTGCCAATCTCTGCTGCTCCACTGCTCCTACCTCCTATCCTCTTCTTGCAGGGTTCCAGGAAGGACTCAAAATCACCCTGGACTGTGC